GGCTGGTGATTAGCTCGTCGCAAGGCCTTTACCTGTACACAAACACAGAAAAACGCACACAAACATCCATGCCCTGAGTGGGATTCGAACCCACGATCCCGGCTTACGAGCGAGCAAAGACAGTGCATGCCATAGACTGCTCGGCTACCGTGACCGGCAGTGAGTCCATATAGGCAACTATAAATGTCGAAGAGAGACGCAAAAGAGCAGAGGAAATATTCGGAAACTATACCTCAGCCGATCACAGTGACCGCGCGGTCTAAGGCCTGAACCGTCTTCACCCGATAGAACACTGGGATCGTAGGTTCGAATCCTACTCGAGGCATGGATATCTGTGTGCGTTTATTCTGTCTGTGTTGTTCTTTTTTAGGTAGCGTCCTTGCTTCAGGTTGATCCCCTGTCCAAGGAGTCCTACCGACTATCTATAAGATTAAGAAACTGAAAAGGCGGCCAAGGTCCACTAGGGCTGTTCAGCCACAGATAAGTAGGTAGGTAGATAAGTAGATAGATTTGTACGTCATGCCCACTCCTTTCTAATAATTAAAGAAGAGGTGATAGACTTAACGGAAATGAATTGTCTCCTACTCATAATCCTTTTGCAATGTAGACGGGCCTAGCGTCTCAAGCGATTAGTCGCTGGCTTCCCACCGCGGTGGCCCTGGTTCCATCCCGGGTCTGGTGAAGTGGGATTTGTGGTGGCCAAAGTGGCGCTGGGGCACGTTTTCTCCGAGTACTTCGGTTTCCCCTGCCAATCTCCATTCCACCACTTGCTCCACAATCACTCTCACCTATCATCTGGAGCTGGTACAATAGACCAGAAGTGGCCGCAGTACAAGGAACTTAGTCCCACCACACTAGCAATAAAAAAATGAAGATAGGATGATACGGAAGGAAGCACAAATCTAGTAAGTCACAAACTCATGGCAGGTGGGGGAGATGATGTCAGATGTCCGGGCTGCCTTCATGTCATTAGTTCGTAAAGCGAAATGGATGGACAAGGAGACGACGAACCACGCCCTCAGCAAAGTCCGAGCCATGCGTCTCGTAATTGCCTACCCGGACTTCTTCGTGGCACGAGGCTATATCGAGGACCAGTACAAAGGCGTGAGTAAAACTGTGTCATAATTCATCCACTTCTGTACGATAGGAAAAACTGACATGATATTTAGAGAGATTGCTTCTCATTACACAGAATGTGTTTTTATCCCTCCGTACTCTTTGCAAAAGAATAACTTATAATTATCTCCCTGTAAGTAAAATCCGAAAAATCATCTTCCTTAATAATGACGCCTTCCACTGAACATGATCTTTTGCCAGTTCCCTCAATCTCCCACACAAATAAATTTTTCCTTTATACTCATGTCAATGTTATCCTCCCAGCTCCTGGTAGATCTGGTAACACGGAATTAATTGGAGAAAACCTTTCACAGTGACAATGTTTCCAACACAAATCCCACATGTACTTACCCGCAATTGGTCTCTGGCCTCCGAGGTGGGGGCTCTGCGACCGCACATCTGTTTCCAATTCTGAAAGCATATTAGTTAATTAAGACTTTTCGATCTCCACAACAAAACTCAAGCCCCGCATTAATCAACCAGGCTCAACTTCATATAAGTGTACGTTTATATAAAAGGTAAAGCTATCCCTGTAACATGCTATGGAGGCCCATAGGGTTGTGAGACATCGAGGCTCCCACATTTTCTAGACAATCGGCTCACAGATGGAGGTAAGTTTGTCAGCCTTATTCTCCGGCAGCCCTTTACCCCCAGGAAGATTCCTGATACTCATTTATTTTAGAGGCTGAGTCGACCCCATGGCCATAGTGTTGCTGGAAGGATTAGGTAAATTGAAGATATCCACCTCATTGGGACTCGAACCCGCGACCTTCCGGCTTGTACGATAGTGCCTCAATATAAATGTAACCTTTTACTTATCACAACCTTTTACGTTTTACTATATCGAAATGAAGACGGGGACTTTCGATTCGTTTGCGAACGAAGCCAAACCCTTTTAACGACCGGGTTACACGTAAGTTTAACCCACGCACAAATTCAAACATAGGTAAAGTAGAAAATGAAATAAATACCGGTTCATGAACTTTGAACCCCATTCGTAGATCTGTAGATAAAGAGTCCAGCAGGCGGTGAGCACGAGAGCTGTACAGAACATGCACAACTAATCACATCGATCGCTACGAATCTTTGCTCGTTAGGTGTGGCTGCTCCACTGGAAAACTGGCTGCCCCTTGGGAAACATCCTGGGGGCGTCCATATCTGTGCACTTAGCGTTAGAAACCATGGGCGTGGAAAGATATTAAGATAGCATTTCTCATATGGCGCACAATAAAGATAATTCTTTATCTACATAATTATTGTAAGCTATGCAGGCCTATGTNTGTGTGTGTAAGTTTGATGGAGACATGTGAAAGGCGTAGACCCTATATTTATAAGTGTGTACATGATCCATCCATATACAGAGAGGTTCTTTTGTAACTTTACGCGTTCACGGCACTGAGCTTCACGGTGGCCGGTGCGTCTCCTGTTGCGAGGCGCATAAGAATTTTGCCGGTTCTGTTCTCAGTTACATTTAGTGAATGATATCGTGCGATACATTTAAGAGCAATGTGTATTTCTGTATGACACCTATGTGAAATGCAGATCTGCTGGAAAGTGTTGGCGAAAATTTCGAAAAAATTTGCGTGATGAAAGCTTTCCAAGCAGACGAACGATTCATAGTTTGGTGAATAAACTTAGAACAACGGGACTCTTAATAGACATTAAACAAAAACATAAGAGCTGAATGCTTGCTGAGGAGCAGTTAGATAACATAGGGGCCAGACTTAAATATAAATATAGAAAATCACTGAAACGTCTAGCCCAAGAGACTGGAGTGTCAAAGTCTAATGTACGAGTAAGAACGGCAGCATAATTGCTGTAGCCACCCAGTTAAAGTTAGTGTCCGCTGTGCTGTAAGTGTAAGGTTTCTTGTACCTGTGTTTTTTTAACGAAACAATTAATTACAAAAAATATCTACGTGTAGACAGGACAGCAATTTCAACACCTCTTCTGATCTGTGAATTGTAACTACTTCATTTCAAACGCTATCGCCTATCAGGCATGCAGATTCAACAGCAAAATTCGCCTGCATCTCGCAGCAAGCAGTGCACCGGTCGCCGTGAAACGCAGAGCCGTGAACTCGCCTAGTTACTAAAAAACTCCCTGTACATAATTATATATTTACTAAACCTACTTACGAATATAATGTTAGTATTTCGCGTAATGCAAGTACAGTTGGAAATGACACTTTAATTATATTTATACGTATATGTGCTGGCTTTCATTTAATTCTTCATCCAGCGCCACGCATTTCACGTACATAATTTTAATAGATCTTACGGTATAGAAAATAAACAATTTAACAGAATAACGAGGTTGCAGGAAAGATTAACAGCTTTGAGAACAAGGGGCACGAGAAGCGTAGTCATAACAGTCGATCCTATTTCTTCTGAATCTAATCTCATTTATTTCTATCGTCCGTGCTTTGGACCGGGTGGCATCTCCCTTCAGGCTCTAATAATTGCTGATGATTCAGATTTAGTGTCTTTTTACACCGTATCAAGTAAATTACCCAGGTTGCTTTATGACACTTCATTTCCTGTGAGGGTTCCTCAACCCACCACTTATCTGTCTATGAGAATGTCAGTCAAGTAAGCAACAATGCGGTAAGCCTTAACTTATTTTGAAATAATGAACCTGCATTCAGCCTGACTTGTCCCTTGTTGAAATGACCTATCTTACATCTTACTTCCTTTTAAGGTGACAATCAGGAGAGGCGAGTACTTGAAGAGTGTCCTGAGTGTTTTCACCGCAGAAGCGAACAGAGTTCTGGGAAGTCTTGATTCAGCCATTGATTTCAGGTATGTTCCACGGCAGCTGCCTTCCTCTGTAGGCATGGATGACGAACTGTATAACATCTATGTAAGATTCGAGGCTTTCACGGCGGTGACTATGAAGAAAGCAGTATTCTGGGATTTGGCACCGTGTATATGTAGTGTTAACCGATGTTTCGGAGGATAGTATCGCCTCCATCTTCAGGGTAGAAGGAAAAATATAAGAAATCCGCAAGCGAAGAGACCGTGAGAACCGGTAAAAGCAGACTGATGTTGGAACAGTCTGAAGATGGAGGCGATACGTTCCTCCGAAACGTCGGTTAACACTACATATACACGGTGCCAAATCCCAGAATACTGCTTTCTTCATAGTCACCGCCGTGAAAGCCTCGAATCTTACATAGATGTTATACAGTTCGTCATCCATGCCTACAGAGGAAGGCAGCTGCCGTGGAACATACCTGAAATCAATGGCTGAATCAAGACTTCCCAGAACTCTGTTCGCTTCTGCGGTGAAAACACTCAGGACACTCTTCAAGTACTCGCCTCTCCTGATTGTCACCTTAAAAGGAAGTAAGATGTAAGATAGGTCATTTCAACAAGGGACAAGTCAGGCTGAATGCAGGTTCATTATTTCAAAATAAGTTAAGGCTTACCGCATTGTTGCTTACTTGACTGACATTCTCATAGACAGATAAGTGGTGGGTTGAGGAACCCTCACAGGAAATGAAGTGTCATAAACCAACCTGGGTACTTTACTTGATACGGTGTAAAAAGACACTAAATCTGAATCATCAGGAATTAT